TCCTGCTTTTTGCTAGTGTAGGCAATGATACATTAAGGGAAGAAAGTAGATTGTGAAGACAAACCCAACAGAATGGTAAATAATACTTGCAAAGCAGCATTGCTGGCTGAGGGGCTGAATTCAGAGATACTATTCTGAGACTACTAACATTTTATTGATTCTCTCAATTGGGAAATCACAGCAAAAAATTTCCTGCCAAAGCTCAAAATATCTGCTAGATAAAATATCTAGTATCACAAAGTAACTGGGCATATTGGTTGAGAAATACGAACAAAGAAAATAAAGAAATTTTTGGTGTGAAATCTTTATATCACGTATTTTGATGCCAGTTTATGTTTCCAAAAGGCAGTGTTTAAAAGCACTTAAAACAAGCGAGTAAATCTCAGTACATGTTCTTGCATACATTAAATTGTACCTTTCACTGTGCAGTAATAAAATGGCATAGCAGGACCATCATTTTGGTCAAAGATATTTCATTGTAATGCAAGCTTAATTGCCATGAATGACTTCCAACCATGTTATTAACAACACAATGCGCTCGGTATTTTTACATATTTGTGTGGTGCAAGACTGAAATGTGTTTGCCAGGAGTTGACAAACTAAATTCTGGGTCAGAGACTGGAACAAGCTATTCCATCTCCTGGTGATAAGAATGAGATATAGAAACCACAGCAACAGAGCACGGGAGTGCTTTACCTCCAGTCTCTCATGACAAGATGACATTTTCCACCTGTTAAAATATTAAAATACCCAAACAGCACTGCACAGCTGCTAAATCTGAGCTAAAGAACCCAAGAGTGACAGCATGGTGGGCAGGATGCCAGCCCCGTGCCCGGTTCTGTTTGGATGCAGTGTATGTCTGGCAGCATCCTGAAGCTCCTGCCTGTGCCCCTTCTGCTGGACTGGGTTTTGTGGGCACAGACACCCCAGGAGAGGTTCTGAAATAAGGCCTGAGGATGGCATGGAGTTCCTCTGGTCCAGGAAGGATAAAACTGAGGAGGACTTGGCCTGCTGGCACTCTATGAGTTTTCAGCAAGTCCCTCTCATTGGGAGGCAGCTTGGCAAGGGCTGTGGGTGGGTACCTGTGAGGTCTGGGGACAGCAGTGCCCCTCTGTGCCCCAGAGTGGAGCAGAGCCCTCACACAGCCACCTCAGTGTGCACACTGAGCTCTGCCTTTACCCACACCTTGGCCCCTTCCCAGATTGCTCAAGTGGAACACCAGGAGCACTGCAAAACCCAAAACCTCCTGGAGAGCTCTCCTGAAATCATGGACCCCCGGGGGAAGCTGAAATGACAGAACAGCCCAGAGAGCTTTGGAAATGGAACCCGACACAGACATGTTGGTTCTGAAGCAGCTCATGGATGGAATTCCTTGGAAATTTGCTTCTCTACAAGTCAAAAGGTAATCCCAGATTAAATCCCCTAAATTTACCTGGCTCCCTAGCCCACCCACAGCTGTCAGCCATTCCACAGCACAGGCAGTATTTTCTTAGGCTCAGCAGGTTTTCCACCTCTTTTAATCTATTTGTTGCATGTGCCACAATGCTGCCACTACCTTGGGAAGGTCACCCCTGCTTTGTGATTCCCTGATGGCCAGGGTTTCTCACTGCAGGTGTTGGAGCTGTGGGGACTGCCTCTATGGATGGACTGGTGCTGGGGTTTTGTGCTGGGGTTTCACTGTTCTGCTGCTCCACTGCAGCACTAGGCTGTCTCTTCTCCATAAATGCAGGGTTTGGCCAAAGAGGGAGTTTTTACTGGTTGCCAGCAGTGCTGTGTCCCCTGTGAGTAACCACACACACCCCCACAGGCTGTTACGGGGTGATCCTGTGGCTGAAGGGAGCAGCAGGTGCTGCCTGGAGCGTGCCTCTGACTGGGAACTCAGTCACTGCATGGACAGCCTGCAGGTTGGGGAAGGGATTCACCAATTTATGCAAAATTGATGTTGATGGCTGATAGCTTGGCCTAAATAAAACTCGACCTCCCCCAAATGTAGCAGTTTCTTTACGTTTGTTTGCATTTGTAATAGAAGGAGGGTAAAGGAAAATTCCCATCCCTACCATGCAGGACCCACTCCAAGGGTGCCCCTGGCAGCACCTGGGCTGGGACAGAGGACCCGCCACACCTGCTCCCCTACACTCACACCAGGTTTTCCTCTGCCCCAGGTTTCCCATGTAGAGTCTCAGATGTCCTGATCCTTAAAATAATTTAATCTTGCTGTAACAACAAAAAATCACAGCTTGAGCTGGTGCCTCTGAGGAGTATCCTGAAAAAAGGACACACTGGCACCACGTTTCTGGTGGCCACCCTACATCACTCATGGCACCTGGGACCAGTCCTGGTGATCCCTGGTTCCTGAGGTCATTCCATGTGATCCCTGGCACCGTGACCACCCAGGTGAATTGGCTTTCCTGAGCCTTCTGTCCTTGTGTCATCATCTGGTAAGTGTTATTTATGAATTATACAGTGGCAGTGAAAGTGATATTTGGGGTTTTTTCAGGTTTAAATGTGCCATCTATCCTGGTTTTCCATGCACAGAAGCTGATTCCTACATACCATGCTCCCAAACCTCATCTTAGGCTCTCAGATGTCACAGCCAGTATGGGCATTTCAGTCACAAGAAATACATAATTCCAATAATTAATTTAATTCTGTGTAATCCACAAATGAAACTCTTCAAAGAGGGCAAAACAAGTGCATTGGAGCAGTTAAATCAAAAGCTGCTTCTGTACTTGGCTGCCCCAGAGGAAAATGCAGGGGAGGATCCCAGAGCTCCTGAGTCAGCAGGAGGATGAAGCTGTTGTTTCCATGAACCTGCAAACTGCTGGGGCTGCTGTCTGTTAGTGATGAGAATTCTGAGGTTTACAGACCTTGCAGTGCTGAATTCTGCACCAGTCTGGCCTGCAGTAGGAGGAGCAATCCAGGCAGGTGATAGGGAGTAGGGTGCTTTGGAAAGCACACCCTGCCTCCAGTGCCTCTCTCAACACTGAAATGCTTTAAGCTATTATTTGGATGTTAAAATAAATAGAGTTAAACCAATTTTTCTTTGGAACAGTCTCAGTGTGTATGGGTTGTACTCCTGGTGTGGCTCTGATGATGAAGTGCTTTGGTGCACAGGCTACAGGATTATTTGCCCTCCTACAGAGCTGTCACTAATAATTTGGAGTGTAAGTGTGGCAGGACAGATGCTTCATTTCTTTCCAGCTAAACCAGGGAACACAGGTGGATTCCTGGATCCTTGGCTTGTGTGTGTGCTTTTTGTTCCTGCTATGGATTTTAGATTTTAGGGTTTGTAATTTTAGTTTAAAGTACTGGTTTTCCTCTTCTAAAATACTTTTGAATACTCCCTCATAGCTACTGTTTTACTACAGAAATGAAGCTGTGATTTGAGATCAGAAAGTGCCTTGCTCCAGGAGAGCTGCAGCAGGCAGGGCAGGGCTCTGGGGAGGGGAGCAGCAGGTGCAGCCTGGGCAGTGCTGGGGATGAGCTCAGGAAGGGTCCCAGCCCTGGGAGGGGAGTGCAGAGCCTGGCTGGCAGCTCTGCCTCTGTGAACACTCTGCTGTTCCCTTGATCCTGCAATCTGGCTTGCTGCGAGAAGAATCAAGATTATTCAGTCAAAGTCACAAGGGGGAAGCACTAGGGTCACTTTTGCCTTTTGTAAGAAAGCCTAAATCCCAGTGATGAACCATCTTGGTGCTTTTCATCACTTGTTTAAAAATATGTACAGCTTTTGGAAATGGGTCTTCCATTTTAGAGCCAAATTCTCTGCAGGTGAAAAACTTGTTTTACCTCAGTGAAGAGGTGCCAATCCTAGCAGTGATCTTCCAACTTCTACCATTATTTCAGTGCTTTACCTCCTCTAAAGCAAGGGCGCTGTCCTGCTAGTCCCTCTGGCATCCTAAAATGTCAGTCCTATCCCTTGCCAGCCTTGCTTTTCTCTGGTGAGGACAGTGAGGGTTTTATCCTCAGTTGGAAGACTTTGTGCTGAGTGGGGTTCAGTGAGGCTCATTTTCCTTCAAAGCTTGCAAACATCTTTTTTCAATATATTAATTATTTTTAACAGCTCTCTCCACGATTCAGCTTACAGAACATATTTTAAAATATTTTTTATGCTTTTGACTGATTATAGGATTGTTTTCCAAGTGCAAACTGCACTGTGTCCTGGTGGCTCAGGCTCCCAAAATGAATGAGCTCTTGGCTTTGATTTACTGCTGTGCTCCCCAAACATATTTAAAGCAGACAGTGCACGTCGCTCTGTCAGCTGCTGGTCTGAGCTGTTGTTTGTTTTGTTGAACTTCCCTTCTATTGCATAATTGCATTTGCCAGGTGGAAGTGAGAGCTGTCTTTTTGAAATCATAATTAATAGTGTCTTGGGAGTTTCCTCCAACTAAATCCTGCTGCAGTTTGTTCCTCTCTGTGCACCCAGTGCACATCAGTCACCTCCCACAGCAGCTCTCAAGGTTAGCAGCCTGCCTGCCCAAGGATAGATGGCCTACTTAGGTATTAAACAAAATTACTTTTGGTGAGTGACAATAGATTCAGTGGTGCTGGGGCTTCTGGAGAGAGGAAGAAGTAATATTTTAATCAGCAGAAATAGGAGATAGTTTATATGCTGTTGGAAGACTAGAGCTACATATGGAAAACTATGTCTGTGAAATAATTTCTTCTAAGTCCTATTAGGATGTAAATGTGATTTAAATTAAATCAAGGAAAGTGACCAACAATTATAAAATCCCATTTCTGAGAAATCGAATTTTGGATTTGCACTATTTCTCTATCAGACCTTGGTGCTATCTCTGTAATAAAAGGTGAAAAGGTGACTCGGGCTATTTAAAAAGGAGGTTATTGCAAATTGAAGCTGAAGCTATAATTGGGTCTCCCTCCTGCTGATGCAAGTGAGGAAAAAACAATTAGTGGAACACTCAAAGAAAAAAAGGCTAATCTCCAAAAGTGGTGGAAAATAGTGAGTTCTTTCCCTGGCATCCTGACACAGATAGTGACAGCCAAGGCTCTCCTGCAGAGGTTTCCAGGCTGGACAACTGGACAGTGTGAGTGACTTCCCTGGCACAAGGTGTTTTTTTGTGTGCATTTACTGTACAGCTCTGGCATTCCAAGGGTCTGTGGGTTTTATTTCCTGTATTTGCTATTAGGAATATTGTCATTTTGAATTGTGTTCTATTTTTCCCATCAGTGAGGTGATGAGGGAGTAGCTGAGCTGCAGCTGGCCATTGTATTTCAGAACACACAAGAGCTCCCAGCCCTGCTGCAGCTCTCAGAAAAACCTCCCCTCTCCTGACTGGACTTATCCTTAATAATAGGCCTTGTATTCATGAGCTTTTCTGAGCTTTTGTTAGGCCTGCCTTATCAATATTGAAGAGAAAATGTTCTTTCCTTAAGTCTTGTACGAGCAGTAAAGGTCAGGGACGATGGCAGTGTGAAAATCCACATTTCTATTTGACCTCTCTATGCTTAACAAGTGTTTAATTCTCTTCCTCCCTGATGGAAGGGTGATGTGCTGGCGCTGTGACACCAAATGATCCCTGTCTCGAGGGTGTCTCAGTGATCCCTCCTGCCTCAAACTCCCTTTTGTGAAACACTGCAGCTCTGACACTCCTCAGCCTGGGGCTGGCACATCCTTTGCTGCTGCTGCTGTTTGCAGGGGGTGGCTGGGCAGAGGGGCATCCTCAGCGTGCCCAGGCTCATTCTCATCTAGAGCAGCATTGCTTGTGAAATATGAAACTTTGTAAAAAATGACCTTTCCTGTAGTCAGGAAAGAGACAGCTGGAAGTTTAACCTGGAACTGGTACTCCTAGGACCTGGCAGTGCTGGGGCACTGGGAAGAGCCTGGGAGGCATTTCTGTCTCTGCCAGGGCTGGGGATGCTGGGGTGTGACAGACAGTGTGACAGACAGTGTGACAGACAGTGTGACAGACAGTGTGACAGCCCTGCCCACCAGCACAGGCTGAGGTCACTGTCCCGTGCCAGGGAGCAGCACCTGGTGTCCCCTGTGGCAAACAGAGCCTGCACCTTGGAGCAGGCAGAAGTGCAGCTGGAGCTCTGGGGGTGCTGCGGGAGCTGGAGCTGCCCGCTCTGCCAGGCATCCTGTGCAGCCCAGCCTGCCCGAGGCAGGCAGAGGGAGGGAGGGAGGGCAGGAACCTCTGTGGCACTGTCACACCGCCGTGAAGTCACAGCTTAGTGGGAAGTGCAGCCTGGCAGGAGATTGCCAATATTCAGCCATTCTTTCTGTCCCCCACGTGTCATTTTTTTACCATCCCAGCAAGGGTTGATCCCCACACTGGTATATCTCAGGCAGGGCTTTAGTTAGGTGAGTTCTTTGCCTTGCAGCTGATTAATCACTGATTGCAAAGTTTGGTTTGAATGATAAAAACCTCAGGGAGATATAACTTCATGAACAAGATTTTTTTATTATTATTTCCCCCCCTTTTACTTTATTTTACAGCAATGTGAAGCAACCTATTGGGCTTCAGGCTTGGCTCTTTTGGGCTGCATAGACTAACCCAACTTTAAATCTGTCAATTTAGCTAATGTTGCTGTATTACAAACCTGTTGCAAATTACCCTTTTCTCTTAGTTTCTAAGTTTCTAGTAGCTTCTTTCATGTATTTTTTGCCTTATAAGTTTCAATCAGTTGGAAAAAAAAATATTGTTTGTAGGTCAGTGCATTTGGTAGGGTCATTGTGGGTTCATTGTCGCACCTCCCTTAAACAAGAGCTTTCTCATTTCCTTCCCATACACATGCATATATAGTTCCAAAATGAGGTAGTCAGTAGCCATCACATCATTGGAATGATGAGCTAAAAAGATTAGGAGTATTGGGGAGCCCTTTTCATGGGGTGGTTCTTCAAAACATGGGTTGTTTTTTTTTTTTGTGGTTGAATTGGGTTTTCTGTCTTTGTGTGTCCCTCTTCACGATTTTCTCCTGAATTTTTCTTCAGAGATAAAATTCTAGTTTCCCTTTTTTGATGAAGATTCTTTACAGAATAAATTGCCTGACCATGATGAACAAATAAAGGAGGCATTTAATCCACTTAGTGGCTCTAATGCATGACAAGCTGCACAAATGGCAGGGCAGGGCTGGGGATGTTCTGCTGAGTCAGAGCCCTGCTTGGACACCAAACTGGGGATTTTCACAGATTTTTGGTCTCATTTTGACTGGTTGATTTAGAGCAATTGGGAGCCTTGCTTTTCTGGAATTTCTGAAAAAGCTTCAAGTGCAACTGTCCCTCACAACAATTTTTAATAACAAGTTAAATTACTATTATATTTAAACTGAAAATTTTCTGAGTATTATCCTAATTCCCAGACTGCAATGTAATGTTTCTCCTTTTTTTTTTTCTAATCCAAAGTAAATATAAAGTTAATAAAAGGATGCATTCCTACATGATTACTTAAAATCAGGATGAAGCAAACATTAAACAGCATAGCATTGAAAGTAAAAATGGTGTCAAAGCTGGGTAGTCATACATTCCAGATAATGTCTCATCTTGAACTACAGAAAAACTAATCACAAAGAATCCCATAACACATTGCATCTGAAATAGCACTAAACCTTGCAATAAGAGGCTCTGGTGGGTTTTCCCCATCAATAAAAACCTCAACACAGAAATCAAGTCCTTTCACTTGTCCTGGCTGACAAAACTCCAGCTTTTCTGTTGTTTCAGCACTGTATTTATGGAGGTAATTTCTCATTAATAAGAAATTTTTGCAGCTGTGATTTCTTCTCTGTGTGTGATATATCAGAGATATAAAACCTGGGAGTGTTGGGAAGCATGGTTGAGTTACTGGGGTTTAGGGCAAGAGCTGGGGTGTGGGATTTGTGGGATCAGGGGGATGGTTGAGCTTTCTGGATGTAGAATTTGTGGGATCACAGAGGGATGGTTGAGCTTTCTGGGTGTGGGATTTCTGGGACCAAAGAGGGATGGTTGAGCTTTCTGGATGTAGAATTTGTGGGATCAGAGAGGGATGTTTGAGCTTTCTGGTCTGTTCTTCAGATGTTTTGTTGCCAAATCAATTTTCAGCTGCTGCTTCTGACTGAATTGGTGATCACACTGCTCTAGGAATTGTCCTAGGTATGGTATTGGGAATTTATCCAAGTGTTTCCTCCCAGCTGTGCTTTCCCTGGGCTTTGAAAATACAATAAATAAAATCTCAGATTCTCTTTCCATCATTTTGGACTTTTTCTGAATTTCAGTGAGATTTGGTGCACTGCTTGCTTGGACAACCCCAGAGGTGGCAAGGACTGTGAGTGAAGGAGAAAGAGGGAAGGGAAATCTCCATCCTGCTCATTCTTCATTTTTGAGCAGCTGCAGACACTCTTTGCTCACAGAAATTCCCTCTTTTCTTCCCCTGACCCCTTCTTTCAGGAGGATATTTTAAACCTAAAATATGAACTAGATTTTAAAATTCCTCCTCACCACTTTCTTAGCTTTAGCATTGAGAAAATGGCTCATAAAGAGTTTCTGTAAATTCACTTAGGATCTCTGTGTCACTCTCCTGTGAACATGGGATTCTGAAGGAGGTTTTTGTTAGATTTTAGGACTCCTGTGGGATAGATCAGCTTAATTTATAATTTCTAAACAGTACTAAAGGGAAAATGAAGCAATTATTGTTAATATTTAAAAGCCAGTGATTATATGATATTTGCAATATATGGTGTTTATAAAAAACCCCAACCAATCCCTAACAAAACCCAAACAAAAGCAACCTGGAAACAACACCTCTGCATAAAGGTGCCTCAGGGCTCAGATCTGCATCTTGCCAACCTTCAATAAGTTCAGTTCCCAAAAAATGGTTTGAAGTTTTTGCAAGAAAAACACAGCAAAGTGCCAGTTAAATGTCATGTATTTGAACAAACATATACGTCAGCAGAGCTCTGTGGAGACCTGAAATTCTACCTTATAGAGATTTTTCAGGTTTTCCGAAACTCATTCCCATTCAAAACTGGAATGTGAAAGTAAATTACTTTGTTTTTGTAGAATTTAAAATTTTCCAAAACATTTGGTTTCTCTTTGTAAAATGCAAACAAACAAACAAACAAAAGCAACAACAGAAGTAAATCTATAATGCAACAGCTTCCTTCAGCTGTTGCCTTCTCCTGCGTTTCTCTGGAGTTCATTTGCAGTGATATCTCTGCAATTTCATAACACATCCTATGGACAGATAGAACATTAAATCTATTGTGTAACCAAAAGCTGAGGAATCCTCTTAGAATGCTTTTACTCTAAAATGCAAATAATGCTCTTTAGTTGTATGTACACATTGCATTAAATGACCCCAGAGCTTGTTGACAATGTTTGAACAGACTTCTAATAGAGGGATTTTTTTATTATCATTATTTGTGATTTCAAACGTGCTGATGAACATGTAGCATGCACTGAAAAATCAGCCCTGTATGGGAAAAATATCTTGAATGTGGTACAGATCCACACACACCTGGATCTGTGAGATATGAAAATATCAACATGTATTTTCTGTGCTTAAAATGGAATTATATCCTTCTTTAAGTCTTGAAATATGGTAGTTCTATCTAGATTTATTTGAGCTCTGTGACAGAATGTAATTTTAGAACCTTTCATATTTACAAAGTCATCTCTTCCTCAAGTTTGAAGGACACTTTTTGTGCTCTTTTGCACTCAGGTTAAGAGGCTTAGAATGTCTTTTCAAATAGCAATTAATAAAGTTATAAGGCCCAATCCAACTTTTAGACCACAAGATAGGAGAAAACAATGGTAGCTAGTAGAAGATGAGGTCAGGATTAATTTTATTATATTTACTATAATTATATTAAATTTTATTATATTTATTCCTGCGTGTGTATATCTTTAAATAGCTTTTCTTTTGTGCCAATCCCCATTTTCAGCACAGAATAAACACTTTCCCAGGGAGTTCTGCCTGTATGTGAACTTGGGGCTCAACTGCCATTGCTTACAGTGATGAATGGCTGCTGCTTTTGACCGATGGATGTGGGGTGTCAGGTCCAAATTCACATTTTTGTGGAATAAGATTAATAGTGCAACTCCTCTGGTGCTCAGCCTCACATGAAATCCAATCTATTTATGCTCTTTCCAATTTTCAATGTATTATTGAGAATAATATTTAGTGAGCCTGACTAATGAGGACACAACATGGGGAAGATAATTCATATTCTTCAGGGTTAACTCAACTCTGCTTGCTTGCACACAGAGGCTCTTCACTGCCAGTCCTGCCTGAGTGTTCCTCCAGGGGCTGAGGAATTTTATCAAAGGTATGGTTCAGTGAGAGGACTCATGATTGGGAAATGCAACTCTAGATCCACCAACCTGTGGGATTTCCAGGGCAGGATAAGTGGAGCTGCTGCCTGCAGGGTTTGTCTGGGGAGGGAGGATGCTGGGGGATATCCCACGGGTGCTCGGGGGCTGTTCTGCACTGCCCAGGGGGGAGCAGGGCATGGCCCTGGCAGGTGCTGGGGGTGGGAGCCCTCCCTGTCCTTAGGGATGTGCTGCAGGAATGCAGAGGATGGAAAATATTGCTGCCATTTCCAGGCAGGGCTGGTGCCTTTTGGGGCTACCTAAAACCAGAGGGCAGACAGAATTAAGGGGATAAAAAGCAGTTCCATTTACTGAAGGGCCTTCAGGCACATTTCAGGCAGAGCCCTCCCCCAGGGGTTCACCCAAAATGGACCACGGGTCACAGGTTTGCACACTTGTGTAAGTTTGGTCCATCTGCACATTGGGGGTTAATTCCCCAATTACAGCTTCAGCTAATGAACTCATTTACCCAAAGTGTGCCTCCCCAACTAACTTTTGCTTCCATCTCTCAGGGCGGAGGCCGTGAGGGGTCCTTGGTTCCCAGCCTGGAGAGGAATTGTGTCTGACCAAAATGGGGAAGCAGCAGCTGGCACTGGATATGGAGTTTGGAGTTCTACATGAAGAGCTGCAGGATTACAAATAGATGGAAAATATAAAAGCTAGAATGCTGAGGCATCGGGGTCGTGTCTTGCCTAAGGAGCTGCTCAAGGGGCTCTGAGAGAGACAAGAACAGAACCCAAATCTCCAGGGCTCCCATCCAGCCTTTCCTGTGAAATCTCTCTTCCCTTGCAAGTGAATTCTCAGCCTAACATGCACAGACAATGAACTTCCTCCCACCCCTGTTTGCTGCTGAATGAACCCCAAAGCTGCTGGGGCAGCAATACCCGTATTTCAGACCAAAAATAACTGGGCACTGAGCATCTTCCCCCTTATTTCCAAGCTCTGCTATGATAGGTCTCTGGAATCTGCTTGTATTCCCTACAGCTGGGGGGTTTCCATCCTTTAGGAGTCCTTTTTGGGGAGCTTTCTATTTCTCTTTTTCCTAAAGCACATGCCAATGGTGGCATGAGGGAGACAGGCAAAACACAAGAAGAATGTAATAATTCAGAAATTGATGAAATCTCTGAGGTAGGGCATACAAGAGAGCACGTAAGTCTTTGGCTGGGTCATACAGTTGAAATCTGAGAGCCGTTCTACAGCTATAGCTCTTCTAACAGGGTATATAGTGTGTCTATTCTAACATCACTTTATTATATATATAATATACATTTCAGAGAAAACTTTTTTTTTCTCAGAAAGCTTCTGATAAAATTACAGTTTTCTCCTCTAAGTCCAGACTGGGGGCAGGGAATAGAGGGGAAAAGGGAGGAATTATGATTAAATGTTTTTCTTCATAATCTGCATGTGAACTTCACTTTCAGCTGGTTACCTTGCCTTAGTTCCACTGCCTGGATCAGGGTGAAACTTCTTTGTGCTGTGTGCCAGACAGACCATTTTATATCATCCTTTGCCCAGCACAAAATATAACCAATTTCTTGTCCTTGCATGATGATTTGCTTTCTTAATCTCATATATTTCCTATTTTTTTTTTTCTCCACCAAAACTATGAGGTATAAACGTTTCACACTTGCCCTTCCAGCTGTACCTTTTAATCTCAGGAGCAGTTCCTTTATCTTTTCAGGTGTTGGAGCATCACTTTAAAATTCAGCTACTAACCCTGCACATAAACTCTGAGTAACTCATACCAGCTGTTTAACCTTACCATAATTTTCTTAGTTTCAGCCTGTGGTCTTTAGTTACCTGTAGTGAGCATTTTAATTTTCTGTTTTAGAAGCGCTTGCCCTTGTTGTCAGAGGTGATACAGAGGTGATGTGAGCAGTGAGGGCTGCCCAGTGCCCGAGGGGCTGTGGCTCTTCAGTTCCACTTGCTTGGACCTGATATTGCTCAAGGTGTGTCACTGAGTGTCACTTGGGCTTGTCAGCAGTCCCAAGTTTGTTATAAATGAAAATTTGTTTAGCTAAATTAAAATGAAAAAATAAAATATTTATTTTGTAATTAAATTTTATCTAGTTAGCTATAAAGAAAGAACAGAGCTGAGCTTGGGTGTGTAGTAAAGAGGTCAGCCTCAGCAGAGGTTTTCTTTTATGCCCACACACCTCTATCTTGGCACAAGCGGTTTTTATAGGGAAAATTCTGCCTGAGGCTAATATTTTGGCAGTTAGGTTTTTTTAATTTGGAGTTTATAGGTTAAAAAGATTTTTTTTTTTTTTAATTATGAAGAAGAACAATTTAGTGTCTGGAGTTGGTGAATCCCTTGATGAAGTTTACGGGAACAATGCATTTACATGTATCTGCCTAAGGATTTCCATGAGATCCATCTCGTGTCGTTTACAGGATGATTAGTGCTTGGGGTCTTTGTATCTCTCTAGACAGAGCTCATCTCTTGGCTGAGCTACATCTTTTTATGTGTAAATTGGGTTTTAATATATACGAGGTTTTGCTTGTGAGGGTGGGGAGGACTCTTAATACAAACATGTATATTTTAACAAATATTTAATATCACATATATTATATTAGAAGTGGCGCAAATTATATCTACTACACATAACAATATTTTACTTTTTATATTAACTTATTAATTAGCACCCTAATTTTTATTTTATTTTATATAAAGCGTGTGAATATAAAGAAACTAGTTTTTATATATTTACATATATATATATATATATTTTTTTTTTTTTTTACGGGTTTGTGAGCACAGCCAAAGAAGGACCAGGCTTTGTTAGAACAATTCAAGAGGGGAAATGTTTGTTAACACAATGAAGAGGGACAAAGGTTGTTAACACAATCGAAGAGGGAGGAGATTTTGCAACACAATTAAGAGGTGTTTGTGAGCACAATTAAGGAGAGACAGGGGTTTGTTAACACAATAAAGAGGGACGATGTTTTTTAGCACAAAGAGGTGCAAAGGTTTGTTAGCACAGTTGGAGAGGTGCAAGGGTTTGTAGCAAAGCTAAAGAGGCTCAAGGCTTTATTAACACAATTAAGAAGGACAAGGGTTTGTTAGCACAGTTAAAGAGGTGTGAAGGTTTGTTAACACAATTAAAGAGGTGCAAGGGTGTGTACACAGTTAGAGGTGGAGGGTTTGCTGACACCAGAAGGAGGGCAGGTGTTTGTTGAGTGAAGAACCAGAGGTTTGCAGCAGTTAGAGGTGCCGGGTTTGTGGCACAGCCAGGGGACAAACGCGGTGTGCTCCATTCCTAGTGCCCCTCTGCTCAGGGTGCGTGGCTGCTGCTGCCTGGAGTCCTGCCTTTGTTTCTAGAAATGAAAATATTTATTGGGGTCAGTTCAGCGAGCTTGCCTGCTGCACAGCAAGGAGAGGGAGTGAGAGCCTCGCTGGTGTGAGCTGTAACTATCTCAGGCCTTTCAGCACGTCCAGAGGAGGTTTCCAAGCCTTGAGGAGCTGCAGGGACAGAGCCCTGTGTCCCTTGTCCCCCAGCATGCTGACCTGCAGGCACACATTGACCTTTGCATGCTGGCCAAGCACCCTGCGGTCAGCTGAAATCTAAAAATTCATTTACCTAATGCCAGCCTGGAACTTGTGCAGCACCGAGGTTACCTCAGCAAACTCCTCACTGACAGAGAATTCCTGACTGGCATGGAAAGCCTGGCTCCTCCTGCCTCTGTGGCAGCTCATCTTTTGCTTGTTTGAGTCTTATTTTCATGGTACTTGCTGAAGGGTTTTAAACACCCCCCGGTTTGCTGAGGAATATTTACACCTCTTGGGAGATTCAGGAGCACCCTGGGAAATGCTGGGTGGAGGCAAAGGGAAGCTGTATTTCCATGATAATGCATTTGTTTGTTAATAAGTGGTTTCTGTAAGTCCAAGGTGTTTGCTTTGGAGAACTGAAGCTACCCTGCAGAATTCTAAACAGAATGGGAAATGGGAGTCTCTTCGAGGGTGGGTTAACTTGGTATCAACACCTCAGTGCCACTCGACTGAGAGATGGGGCTTAGTCTGTACAGAATTGGGTCTCTGGGGGGGGGGGGGGGGAATATTTAAATAGAGTATTTTTAGAAGAGAGGGATTATTGAAAAGATTTTTGCTGAAAATAATAAATTCTCAGTGTGGGGAAGAAGAGACACGTATCTTTTTCTGGCAGCTAGTTTGTGTGTAGGTCTGAATATCTTTCTGGCTTAATTTAACTTATTAATATCTTAACTTCCCTGCTGAAGTGGGCTGAAATTAACATTTATTCTCAAGAACTTGCTCCTTAGACTAAAAAACAAACTGAGATAAATTTGAATGAAGATACATGGCCTATCATTCCTGTGAACAGAAAGCCAAAATCTTACTTAACACTTTTTTTAAGAAGTGTGAGGAAATGGGGTGAAAATGGGCTGTTTGAGGGGCTGTTTGCTGGCGGTTTATACCGAGTTGACAGCCTCAAGTCTTGTCTCTCTGCAAAGATAAAAGTAGAAAACCATTATTTCCATTTTCTTAAGGACTTTATTTTTTGAGGGGGAAAACATTTTTGATCTCCAGTTGCATTGAAGCTTCATTTAGGTACTTGTGTCTGGGTGACAGTTCAGGATTTACCACGAAGGAAAAAAAGGAAAAAGTAATCCAACCGTCTTGAAGGCAGATGTTGGAAAAACACCTTTCAAGGAGGAAACAACCTTCCCTGCTCAGCTCTGCAGTGATCACAATCTCTGCAAGAACAGCGAGGGGAGCTCTTTGGAGAAGCAGAGCTGCTTGGATGTGGGGATGTTGTGTCCTACTGTAATTGACCTGTGGTGTTCTCAGTCTTCCATCCAATCCTTTTGGACCTTACTACTCTTCTTTTAAATTTATATATTAATGACTATATAAACCAGAAATCAGGAAGAAGGCAAACACACCTTTGTCACAGCCTCAGTGCACTCCTGAAATTTGTTTGCATTCATAGAAATAGTCTGAATGAATGTTGTCAAAACTACTTGTGTGATTGAATGTCCCTGCCCTGGACTCAGATGTTTCAGTCTCGAGGAAGCAAATATTATTCTAAGGGTATCAAAAAAGGAAATGAAGCCTTTGAGAGTAATATTTTGCAAGTCTTTGTTAGCAGACATCGTGTGTCATTCCATCTCTGCCCTGCTCTAATTGATGTGCAAGTATTAGCATTTAGTGAGCATGGGCTTATCATTTATTGAGATCAGTCTCCCTCCCTGGCAGCTGGGCTCTGCCCCAAGGCCGGGCTGGAGGAGCCCAGCCTGGGCTGTCAAACACAGGGAGAGCCCCGGGCTCTGCTGCTCGGGACTGACCTCACTGCCCTGGGAATGCCAATGCACCAGAGGAAACAGCGCTGCCCTGACACAGAGAAATGCAGCCCTGCACTACCCTGGCACACAGAAATGCAGCCTGGTACACAGAGAAATGCATCCCTGTGCTGCCCTCACACAGAGAAATGCAGCCTGGCACCGAGAAATGCTGCCCTGGCACACAGAAATGCAGCCCTGACACACAGAAATGCAGCCTGGCACACAGAAATGCAGCCCTGGCACAGAAGAATGCAGCCCTGACACACAGAAATGCAGCCTGACACAGAGAAATGCAGCCTGGCACAGAGAAATGCAGCTCTGACACATAGCAATGCAGCCTGGCACACACAAATGCAGCTCTGACACACAGAAATGCAGCCTGGCACTGGTGCAGGGTAGGCTGCAAAGCCCCGGGCGTGTTGCCTGCACAGCAGGGCTGCAGGCTGCAGCGCAGCAGCTGTGCATGCCCTCTGGTGAGCAGGGAGTGACCACGTCTGGCTGTGTTTCAGTGAGAGCTGCGTCTCTGCTCGCCCGTGCAGCCCCTGCAGCGATCAGCGCAGCGCAGGGCACTCCGTCTGCTCTGCATTAATAAACCCCACGTGCAGCTGCAGCTTTGCCATGGTGGAGTTTGAGCAAAACCTGGGGATTTCCTGGAACCTGGCTGATGTTGGGAAATTGCCACACAATTCTTGGTTATCCAAGTAGCTTTCATGGCTGACAAACAAGGAATGTAAAACATACGAGGAGAGTTAAACAAACAAAAGCTGTGCTGCAGTGGATGGATGGGATGGTGACCTCTGAGGAAGTGTCTGGAGCTTTCAGAGCTTTCTCAAGTCATAAACTGCAATCGGCTCCAGGCCCCGAGGAGCTCAATCACGTTTTCCTTGTGATTTGGGTGCAGCCTTTGCAAAGGGCCACATCTCCTGCCAGAGGGAGCAGCAGGGTCACAGGGCCACTGTGCTGCATGTGCATGGGCAGGCTCCATGGCCAGGCTCTCGTGTCACCATTAATACTGGGAAGTGCTTTTAAAATATTGTCTAATTAGAGGGAAAGGGGAGATGAGAAAGGCCTCAGCACGGCATCTCTCTGAATTGCTGGAATTATGCAGAGCAAGAGCTGTATTCCAGAACACACTGATGACTCTAAAGGGTTAGGGAAAAATCACTGTTTTGCCCATTTTACCCTCTTTTTTAATAAAAAAAAAAAAAAAAAAAAAAAAGAAGCCAACATAAAACTACTGTAAATTCTGCAGAAATACCATGGAGGAAATCTTCCTAGCACTGCATTCTTGGTTAATGTGCTTCCTTTGCATCTTCTTAAATTTGGGATCCTTTGTTAAACCATCAGGGTGGTCCCTTGAATGTCTGGCTGCATTTCATTTCATTTCATTTCATTTCATTTCATTTCATTTCATTTCATTTCATTTCATTTCATTATTTCATTTCATTCCATTCTGCCTGACCCTGAAATCCCCTCTGCAGTTCCATGGGATAGGTGATGGTTGTCCCTCTTGCACCCCCAATAATCCAGTTCTGTATCAGTGCCCTTCTGTTCTTTAGGAAAACTCTGTTTTCCCAGGTTATGTTTGGGCTGAATAACCTTTATGGTTTTTCATGCTGATTTATCAGGTAATGATTGGTTTCTATCAGTTCACAATACTCTTGCCCATTTTCTGTATCATTGCTTTAATTAATTCCTTCTCATCAAGTTACTGGACCTTTTCTGTACTGCTACTACAGGAGATCTCTGCTTTCCTAGACTGCCCATTTGTTGGCAGAAAAGAGAAATATCCACCATTTTTTTTCTCTTGGATTTGTCTCTCCCATCTAGTCAGTAGCATGGAAAGTGACCCTTCACACCTGTGAGACTCTGTCAAATTAAATTCCTAGGATTTTTTGTCTACTATGACGGAGGTAAAAAAGTGCTTGCTTTTCTAGCTATTTAGAGAGGGAGAAAATGGCCATGAATGCTTTAGAAATGTTTGGCAAAGGTAACCTAAGATAATAAAAAAATAAAATAGGAAGATCTATGGGTGTCACTAAATGTACCAGCTGTACCTGGATTAGGACATTTCTGAGCTAAAAATATAGAAACATTCTGAGATGTACTGTGAGGAATCACTGCTTAGTTTCACATGCTCAAGCTTTTGTCCTCCTCTCTAATTGTTATTTGTGTTCCTTCACCTGAAATAGGCTTTGAATTCTTTTAATGCACCTGTGAATCTACTTTGCATTTCCCATCCTGAAGTTTCATTTTCTCCCTGCAAAACGGACAGCTCATTACTCAGGCTATCAGGGAAAAAAGTTTCCTCCATCCCTTCATTCCTGGGGTTCTGTCTCTCTCTACTAACACTTAGAAATGCTTCTTCTGGTATTTTAGTGGTCTTTCTGAAATGAAACGTGCAGGTGTAAGCTACTGATAATGCATTTAAAATTCCAACCTTTTCTGAGAGGTGAGAATTTACCACTTTTTAAAAAAACCTAATCTTTGGAGAAAGTGGTGAGGAATTGTTCTCAGCCCTAGTTTGAGGAAAGCCCAAAGCACAGAGGCACTTTGACAGTGGCAGCACCTGCCAGAGTCAGTGAGGAAGGACTGACAAAATCCTCTGGGCAAACAGCCCTGAGCAGATGCAGATGGAATTGTGAGGCTTGAACTGCACCTATAACTCATTACAAAGCACATTTTGGCATTATATTTTTATTAATTTATTTAATATAAAGTGCTTGGCTGTGTCTGGAAGCTGTCAGCTGGAAGCAGCTACCTGATGTGGGCCCTGCATACCCTGAGCTGGATGCAGGAGGATGCAGGAGGATGTCAGTGTCAGAGCAAGGCTGTGGGGCCCTGGAGCTGTCCTGAGCCCAGCAGGGCAGGAGCCAGGTGCTTCTGTCAGGGAAAATGCAATTAGCTGGGACACCCAGCAGCAAGGGAGGGTAAACTTGAAAAAGAGATTTAACTTCATCTGGGATTATAAAAGGAGAAATTGGATCTTTATCCAATGATTCCTATTGACCTTACACATTTATGCAGAAAGATTTATTTCAACAAAGAGGTCCCTCTGTGGTCACAGGGGCCTAATGTTGGCTTCTCTGGTGCTTGATTTGGGCTGGCTTTAGGGATTTAATTTTGTCTAATCTTAAACACATTTATAAGTCTCCCAAATTAGGAGTCCAATTGCTCTGTGAAGGTGATGGCAAAAATAAGCCTGGTCAGTTGTTCCCATGGGCTGAAGTACCTGTTTGAGATGGTGGTTTCTCTCTTTTAGCTCTGCAGGGAGCCCAGAGTGATTGGCTTCTGCCTTAGGCTCCAAGCACTCCAGAAGTCACACGTGTGACTCTGGAGTTGTGGCCGGGCTGCAGGGCAAACCCAGCTGGGAAGTGCAGCCAGGGCCAGGATGTGCTGCCCACGGGAGAAAATGCCAAGTTC